AAGAAGCCAATACATCATTGTGGTAGTTTAGACTTTTCTTTGAATCCATTTTGCATTTCTTTTGTGGTTGAATAACGTCTTTTTGTGGTCATTTCGTGTTTCCTTTGTGTAAGATTTGAATCTCATCCATTATTTAACGTCTCTTTGAAGTTGTGGTTTGAAAGTATTTTTGCTTTTTTGATGGTTGTATTTCATCCCTTTGTCGTAGTTGTTTGACTCGTTTCACTTGTTTTGTGTCTCTTTCTGCTTATTTGTCATGTCTTCAGTGTTGTTTTGTGTCTCTTTGGTCAGTTTGCACTCCTTTATGGTTGTTTTTCTGGCATGTTGCACTAATTTAAGCCTCTTTGAGGTTGTTTTGCATCTCTTTGTACTCTTATTACATCCCTTTGTGTTTTGATTTATGACTCTCTGCACTCATTTGGCATTATTTTCAGTTGTTTTGCCTCTCTTTGTAGTTGTTTTGGGTCTCTTTGTAGTCATGTAATTGCATTTACAACAAGAAATGCTACAGCAACAGTGAATTCAATCAGAGGCCAAGACCCCCTGACCCCTCGGGCCCTAGGGTCCATCCCCGGTAGACAGAACTGTTCTCCTATAATGATTCCTGATTTCACAACATTTAGTTCCACCAATCACCCCAGCATTATTTCCATGTGTTTGTATGTGTCCTTCCTTAAATCATGGGAATAAATATGTAAATAAATATAATGTTTTCTTTCTGTTGTTCTCTCTCACTCAAAGGATTACAGTGAAATGTGAGGCTAAGGAGTATGAAAATCAATGCTATGTTCAGTTGCAACATGCTAAGGATTTATACAAAATAACCAGAGGCAGTCAGAGAATATGTTGACCTCAGCTTGTGTGTGTGTGTGTGTGTGTGTGTGTGTGTGTGTGTGTGTGTGTGTGTGTGTGTGTGTGTGTGTGTGTGTGTGTGTGTGTGTGTGTGTGTGTGTGTGTGTGTGTGTGTGTGTGCGCATGCGCGTGTGCATGTGTGTGTGTGTGTGTGTGTGAGATGTTTACATGTGTGTAAAGGGGCCTTTTCCATTGGTAGCCAGCAGACAGTCTGGGGGCATGGGCGCGTTGATGGGAGGGGAATAATTGCAGTGAACTAATCAATACAACACATCCTGCTAAGACAGTATCCTCACGCACATGTGACACACACACTATGATAGGTACTACACACGCTCACACACATAGCTAACACTTCTCTTCTCTCAGCAGAATGTGTGAAGGAATGATTCGGTGTGTGATTTGGGAAAACGAGGTTTAGCACATAGCGGTGCATGTATATGTCTGTGCACGCCTGTCTGCAGGTGTTCAGACGTGTGTGCAAGTAGCATTAGGATGTGTTGACGCACTGCAGTCCAGCGCTATAGTGCATATTGTGGGGAAAGTGAGAGGCCTCATTAAAAATGTATGAGGCCCAGACATCATCCACCGACCAACAGCGGCCTCTTGGGATGGGCCGAGACTCTAAGAGCCCTTTACGATGGGAGGCTGTGGGGGGGGGGGGTGCATATATGCATGTACACATGTGTAGTGCAAAGCTTATACCCCCTGTGTGGACATTTCCTTTTAGCTCAGAAGCTCTTAAGATGTCTTCCTCTGATTCTCAGTTCCTCACAATTCTTCTCACTGCCGCCTTTCATTATAAAACTATTCTAATTTAGATTTTTTATGATAACGCAGAGACTTTAATTAAATGCCTAATCTAGTCTTGAGGGTAGCTGTTGCGAACATTTGAGTCTGTGGTTTTTAATCTTTAAAGGTTACAAATCGCACTTGCCTCCTGGTAAGTAGCTGTGCAGATAATTTGGGATTTTACTGTGTGGTATCTGCATCCACCCGAATACAATGTGAGACGTGGGATCTATCCCTCTTAGAGGATTTTATACTTTTCTAGATATACTGTAGTGATACAAAAATGATAGTAGGTACCTTTGTTGAAGAACACTTGGAGAGTGCAGATCCCGCCAGGGCCATTTCCATAAGGAATAAATCATTTGTGTATCCCCTTGATTTTAAATCTGCTCCAAACTTGGTTCCTCTCTAGTCTATGATACACCCTTCCACCAAGTTCCATGAAAATGGAGACAGCTGTTTCTTTGTTATCCTGCTCACAGACAAATAAACCAACCAACCAAAAACATGACATCCTTGTCTAAGGCAACAATACAATATATAGAGATTTAAAGCCAATTTCGTATCAACCAATTAGCTGCCTTCAAACTACATGTTTATATTTTTACCATGCAGAATCTGTAAGGAAAAGAGAAAATTATGTTTTAAATCGTATTTTAATCAAATACTGAATGAGAGATACTCAAGAAAAGTATGTCTACTGTGACACTGTAAACCATAAACATAAGGAGTGTTAACTGGGAACTTGTTTTTGCCTAAATCCTGCAAAATCAGCACTGTGTCGATCTACCCAGGTCAGAAACCTGAGTTTTGCATGTGTACATGTACAGGTTTGCTATATGTAGAGTCCTTGAAAATTAAATAGTTTAGGGCTTCAATATATGAATTGAACCAATTGGAGTAAGGAGACGGTTAACTTCTAAGGGGGAATCGCCTGTTGCAGGATGTACTGTATATTACCAGCGCGGTACATTTATTTTCACAGTGAGTGTTTTGCATGCTGAGAATTGAATGGAAACATGTCAGGCAGTGTTGTACATGGTAGAGTCTGAGCTTACTTTAATTGAAGGATTTCTTTTCGAATAAAACCTTGGCAGGCATATGTGAAAAAAGATTGTGACAGGCACATTAGAAGCAGAGGAGCACAGAGTGAGAGTGTTGAAAATATAGTTTTTTCAATCAATTTTTGCCATGTGTCACAAAGAGTTTGCGTTGGATATGTGGCTAGGTATCAGTGCTGCCAACCATTTAAGTCATTTGTACGCCTCTAGTTGGGCAGGTAATGTGAATGTGTGCAATTTGTAAAGCCATAAGTTGTGGGGAAAAGAATTGGGTCTGTATGATTTGGAAAATAGTCTATATGTGATTATTTCAATTGATTTTGCAATTGCGATATAATTCTCTGTATATATATATAATATAAGGATCTCTACCGACCAAATGTGTTTTGTTAAGTCTGTAGAATATGATTTGTAGGCTGGGATATACTTACAGCTCCACTAAACCTCAGTCAACATTTTATTTTTGGGGGGGGCCGCGGCATGGGAATATTTTTTGAAAATCCACCTTGGGAGGCAGCAGAGAGGAGCTGTGGATTATTGTTATTGATGAATGCATCAGTGTTTCTTAGGGTCAAAAACACTAAACTCACAACTTAAAATGAAAGCGTTTAGTTTATTTAATAAAAGGGCACATGTTCAATGTGAAAAGTGACAGTAGATATAGATTAGTTGCAATGTGGTGCTATAAATATATATAAATAAAAATAATAATAAAGAAAATAATAATAATTATAGCCTCATCTTTTTTTTTAAACACCTTGAATTTCAGGGGGGGCGCGGGGCTCCGTTGGCGGGGCTCCGTTGGCGGGGCTCCATTGGCGGGGCTCCATTGGCGGGGCTCCATTGGCGGGGCGCAGCGCACCTCCAAGACAATGGTAGGAGAAACACTGGACAGTATCCTCTTTTCCCAGGATAATACACAGAAAATGCCGTCAACAGTTAATTCAGACTATTTCTCTTTTTCCATATATACCCGTTGACAGCGAGGTCTTGGGGCAAATATCTCAAAACCTCTGCAAATAAAACTGGCATTAAATTGTCTAGGGGTAAGAAGAAGTATATGTTTTATATATTGTGGGTGAATTGACCCTTTAAGCTGTGTTGTTAGAGTCTCTTTGTGTGACCCTGTGCAGCGGCAGGTCATTCTGTGTCTCCTCTGAGGCACAACGAAGCCTTTCTTCACATCATTCTTACTTTGCTGATCCATCATTACAACAGTAGCTGAGCACTGCCACGCTTTGCTGCACGCCGTTTCAATCAACGTCAATGTCAGCAGTACGAATCATAATGGCTGATTGAGAAGGCGTCTGCGTGTGTGTGTGGGCACACTGTTTTGAGTCTGTGGCAGCCCACGTGGGGTGTATGCAAATGCCGTTGTTAGACAGCTGAATGCCTGTGCTTTACTGAGATGGAGGCACCATGGGAAAATGAAAAGACCGGGAGAATAATGACAGATTTATAATTACAGAATCTAGCATTCAGCGCTACTCAGCAGCAACTGTCTAGGGAAGGCAATCTGGGTGTAATTTCTGCTGATCAGGCTTGACATAAACTTAAGGGTCACACTACACGTTTGCCACAGACACGAATGCACATGCACGCAGGTGTACGTGCTAACTCTCCTTTGTGCAGTTGTGAGAGACCCACACACAAATACAAATACAGAATGTGTCACACTTACAATTCACAGAAAATTGTGGTGCGACAGCAAATTGCCTGGTTAATTTGCGAGAGCTAAAAGCATCAAGTAAGCGCTGGTGTCACTGATGAATGAATGTATTACAGTCTGTCTCTAAATCACACCAGATACATCCGCTTCATGGAAAGGGAGGTAACTGATTCAATTTACGGAGGAGACAAATTATATGGTTGTAAGGAGCTAAGACAAAAACGAGCACACTTTTAATTTTACTTTTAGACTGTTCCCAAACTTTAAATCGAACAACTTGCACTTAGAGTAATCATAGGTCGCGAGAAGCAAATGCATTTTAAACAGGCTATCAGGATTATAACTAGCTTGTGGAAATAACTGCGAATTTTCCATTTCCATTCCATTTGAAGGTAATGTAGGCCACACTTTAGTGCTCAGCTCCCAAAATAATACACCAGAGATGCCTGTGGCCTTGGAGCCAGAGCTTTGCAAGCACCGTCGTCTTCTCCCAGATCATTTTTAGAATTTCTCAGACGAGTGGGTTTTGTCGAAGGACATTCAAACGAAACAGTGTAAAAGCAGAAACAAGCTGTTCTGCAATCTTCACTGACTTTGTTTTCCATCAAGCTGTTTCAGTGCGAACTATGATAGTATTAACCCTTAAGTTATTATTTTCCATTTAAGCTATTTTCAATGTTATCTAAAATAAATGACAGCTTTAGACTGGTGGCTGTTTTTGAGGCCAGAATTCTCTCTGCAACACAAAAAAAATGTGGAGCTGTGTTATCTACAATTCTTTCATTATTAATTGCTTCCTGCCATTGTAGGAATACATCATTTGTCAATCCAGCCCTCTGTGCAGCCTGTCGCTTTTTGCAAAGTTAAATCCATTTTGCTATTGTGTCAGATTGAATGTGCCAAAACCCAGTTTGCTCAGGATTACTATGCATGGTCCAACGTCCTGACTGAGTGCAAGCTGTACTGTTTAGTTTTTTTTGGTCTCATTTGTAATCCTCAAACAAATGTCAGTCTCTGTCCCTCGCAGTCCAACAAACACACAAGTCGGGCAGCCATATAGTTCACTCGGTTGACCTGGCGCCCACAGTGAGGCCCACTGTGGAGGCCCCGGGTTCAAATCCAACCTCAGGACCATTTTTGCGTGTCATCCCCTCTGTCTACCCCATTCAACTCTGTTTCACTGTCACTGGTGGCTCCAAAAATGGTGTTAAAAACAATCACACAATTCTGTCAGAATCAAGAACTAAATGACTGACAACTTCTGAATAACTTTATTCTTAAATACATTTAGTTTGTACCTTTTATTTTCCCTTGCAACGTCTCATTGTTTATTATATCTTAACTATTAAGGACCTATGTTACTGATCACAATTTGGGACCATTAAGCAGTTAGACTAGTTTTGTTTTTGGGGTATTTAATTTAAAAGGTGACAACAACGAACAAACATCACTATGAAAAATACTGAAATCATCTTATGTCAAATCATGCAAGAGAAAACATTCTAAGTTTTGCTTTAAATGTTAAACTGAGCCATGGCCCAATCTCAATCGAGATTGATTAAAGTCAATGTTTGGTCATGTCTTTGAAAACACTTGAATAAAGCACTCCATAGATTCAGGCAAAATCTGAATGTGGGTGTTCCATTTCACATATCCCAATTACGCCTTTGACTTTGACATAGATACTTAATAAAACTCCAGGAAGCGTACCACTCTGACGTGATTTCTTTGCTCCGCAGGTGTGTTTGCAACATCGACTGCTCCCACATCAGTTTCAACCAGGTGTGTGCCTCAGATGGACGTTCCTACGACAACCCCTGCCAGGTGAAGGAGGCGTCCTGTCAGAAGCAGGAGCGCATCGAGGTCAAGCACCTGGGCCGATGCCAAGGTCAGAGCCCCAAACAATCACTCCCAAAGTCACAACAACACCTGCAAACACTCAGCGGAAGCCTTTAATCTGGCAGGTGTTCACTCGGGGTTGAAGTGAGGCCGTGGAGACAGACGGGACTAAACACAGGCAGCACACCCTATGTTTCCCTCAAACTGCAGCTCCAAACACATTTCAAAATTACACTTCCACTCAATTATATTTTGGAATAGCGTGCGAAGATAATCCCCAAATCCCACATCCTCCTCTGCTATGTATATTGATTATTGTACTGAAAGGTAATCCACCCTTTTTAGTGTACTATCTTTTATTTGGGTGCTGTTTTTGTTTGTTCTGGGGACAATGTTATTTTAATAATCTCTGTGCGGTAAATCCCTCAACCGAGTCCCGTTGCTAATGCACATGGGAGAAGACAAAGGCACATCGTTCTTTTGAGGATGTTTTTTATTTGATTTTCTTTGAGGTATGATCATCCAACATCTTAATAGGACTCATTTGGCTCTATACGAAATCTAGCTAACGCTGATGGAAAGGGAGGCAGTGAGGGGGGGGCTTTTATTGTGTAGGGGAACATTTGAAAAGCGTTTGATTGGCTTGGCATCACCGGGGACCAACAGGACAATTGATCGAGATGTGAGAAGCAAGATGTAGGCTTTGAGAGGTAATGGGGAGTAAAGCAATCAAGGCTAACCAGGTCTGGAACACAAATGGAAATCTGTATTCCCCCACCTCACACCCTGTGGGTCGGACCACCCCCATCGATCCACTCCACACATTCTGTTTCAATAAGGGACAGTGGGGACAGAAACAAATGCCAAGACACCAAGGGACTAAAACCTGGGTAAAAGTAGACCTTGTGTTAGTCACAGATGTAGTACCTCATTTTGGACGTCCCTACCGCAGTGGGGCCGTGAACGGCACGGAGTCCATCCTCGCAGAAAGGAAAACCCCCCGCATGACTTGATACGCCCGCTTGACAAATTATAATGAAACCAGCTGCAATGGATCATGGATCCACCAGGGGGAGCCGTGATTAAAAAGCTGCCACACTGGAACTCATGTGAAATAAACAGCTGATAGATCTACTGGTGTCTGATATAGCGGATATTTGTTAAAATCCATATGTCACGGATAGGATCATATTCTGTGCTAAATAAGAGACATGTAATCATTTACTAAACATCACCATGTTTTTATTTAACAAAATAATGTTGTTTAATCCACGTTGGCGTACTACAATTCTACAAAAAACAATCGGTATGTTTTTGCATCAGGAAATCCAGCCTGGCCCGGCTCAGACAATTTTTAATCATCATCCTCACGATCATTTAATGTATCATATGTTCGTCGAATTGACATGTAAGCACTTAGAAATATGAATTTGCTGTGTGGAGCACAATTAAAGTAGGAAAACATTTATTTTCAAAGTAAGGCATTTTTGCAGCTGTAGTCTTGTTTAGCCTCTCCCCTCTGAGCAGTGTTACAATTAATTTAGTCACATATTTGATTTTTAAATATAAATAAGTATTTAATACATATAATACTCAAGGTTCTGATCTCGCTAAAACACTGCTTTGTTTCCTAAATTGTAATCGTCGTCTGAGTCAATAAATAATAAGAAATATTAACATCAAAATCATGGGAAATACTACCTTCTTTTGAGGCAATACATTCACAGACTTATGGGGAGAAACATAATCAATCACTATAAAATGCTAATGGTTGAACGGGAGATTTTGTCTAACCATTGTGAAAAGAGGAATTCAATGCGGCAATAAGGCGAGCAAAAAAAACAAAACATTATTCCTTCTGATCTTTTCTTCCCGGCTCTGCTCCATTCTACCTTAATGCTTCTGGGGAGATGGCCTCTCACTTTTGAAGAGAATGGTTCTCATAAATACGCATGAACTAGATGGGTGCACTCACCGATTGAACCCTTTTGTTGAGATAATAATTCACATTCGACTCTCTGCACTTGTAACCCTTAATGGAGGGCCTTTCAGCTACAGGAGAGGTTGTTAGTGCCCTGAGATCCGTTTGAATGTGTTTTTGGCCTTTCCAGGCGACATCCTAGGCGGAGACGGACACTTCGCGAGGACCGACACCACAGGTGAGTGCATGTGTACCCGGGGTCTCATTGCTTGATAACATGTGCTGCCACTCAAAGCTGCATTACTTCTGACTCTCAATTCTTTTTTTATCTGTTGCTCTCAAGACTTCTTTTCTGTTCTCTTTATTATTTATCTCTTCCTCTCTTATCCTCCGCCTTTCTTATGCAGCATAGTAATGTATGTTCAAAGGCAGCCTGAGGCACATGTGCTTTCAGTCTTAATGGATGGTGTGTGTCCCGTGTGTTTTTGTGTTTGTGCAGTGGTGAAGGAAAAGGACCCGAGGAACGGGCTGGCCATCGGCCTGTACATCCCCTGTCCGGACCACTTCAAGAACTACTGCGTGCACGGCGAGTGTCAGTTCCCCAGCATCGTGGCCCAGCCCTCCTGCAGGTACACACACAGTGTTCTGTGAAATATCACTGGGCAAATTAAACGTTTGTACAATGTATTCATGTTATTACTGGCTACTTCACTCATTTATACGCTAACTCTCTCTGATAATCCTGCTACTAATCTTTTTACCCTTGAATTTGTACCTATTTGAATCTACTCTGCTGCTTTTTTGATCTGTGTTCCCTTTGCTGTAAATGTTACGATGTAACTATACTTAGGAGAACAAAAGCACATGCAGGGAGGGTGCAAGTGAATATATGGCTGATATCACTATTGTGGTATTGGGGAAACTGGATTGTATTAACGAGCGGGGCATCCTTATGAAGCTTTGGGGCTTTCTTAAAAAATACAACGCTTCAGGGCTGAAAATGGAGTGAAATCTGGTTGCTTTAAAAACGAGAAGCAGAACATTAAAGAAGCCCTATTATGCTCTTTGGGGTTTCCCCTTTCCTGTAGTGCGTTATAAAGGTTGTTGTGCATTCAGCAAAATCCCAAATAATGACATCACTATGTAACACTTTGCACTCCAACACGTAGCATGTAAGCTAAGTGACGGGACATTTTCTCATCACAACAGAGCAGGCCAGCTAACCAATCAGAGCAGACTGAGCTCTGGTTTTACACAGAGGGCGAAAAGAGGTGCTGCAGCACAGGCAGTATGAGAAAAACAAAGAGCTTTTTGAACATTAAAGCATGGAGACATGTCACGGTAAAGACACTACATACAAGTATGAACCTGAAAAGGAGCCCAATATGTCCTCTTTTATATTCTTCAGTTTTAGCGTAATGAATTGAGTTGGCAAATTCACCAAGGTCTATTTTTTATTTTATTTTTTTTATTATTTCTTCTTGTTAGGCTTATTGTCATAAAACTTGTGGGGTGTGGCATGGGCCATGGACCTTTTGGAGTGGACCCATATCACAGGGAGCATACACACATTCTTTTTCACTTATGGAAACGGACTTGGCCCTTCTAGTTCTTAATTAGTTGAATGGGTTTTTAATAGCTAGCCATCATTAAGGCTCTATTTGTAATAGCTAATTATAAGCTACAGTGCATGGAATGTTATGTAATAATCAATTAAACCATATTCATCCAAGTTATTATTGGCTACAGAGGTTTTACATTGTATCTCTGACTGACTATGGCTATAAACAAATCCTACATAGAACAAGAAGACTATCTTTTCACTTCCAATTTGACGATGCTCTTACTTCCTTAAAATGTAAGATGTAGGATGGCTAGTCAGTTTAATGTTTAGTGTAAGAGCCTGTTTATTTTTAATCAGGCTTGTTTATCTTGAATGAATACGAGCCAGAGAGCCAAGAAAGGGAAGTGTATGAGTTCTGGCTGGAATTCTGCACTGCTTCAAATGAATCATGTTGGTGTGTCCTCCTTCCCTTCACATTATGATTTTATTACACAAGCTTCATTTTGATTTGATGATGATTTCATCTTGAGGACCCACAATTTGTTGCACTGTCATGTCTGCCAATGATAAAACTTGGCTGTAAACACACCACCGTCATTGGCTATTGACACCTTGAATGTGTCATCAGAGTCTTCCCAGAAGCTGTGAAATGGTGTAGTATTGTTAACAGCAGCAAACAAGCCTAAACAACAAGATGGCTTATTCTCAACATAACTAATTCTAACAGTCTTGTACAATTCTAAGCGTTGATAACAGTTTGTTACGTTGTTCCCAAGTGGCCAAAAAACCCTGGCGGAAACCAATGCCTAATTCTAGCACTAAACTTAATCCATCCCCATTAAGAATAATTGTGGCTTTATTCCTACTTGGATGACACTTCTGTTGGTTTGGCCAGCATTTTAGCTACGATAACTTGTCACCAAACGAGCTTGAAAGATTTTAAAAAAGGGACCAAGTGTGTGCACATCTTGGCAGAAATACTCAGGTGCATGACAAAAAACACTTCACTGAAGAAGACAACAGTTGTTGGCACACTGTTTGACTCCAAACAAATCCTTCGTTCCTCTTTTTCAAGGCAACGTTTTGAAGGAAAAGATCTTTTTAAACTCGGCTAAACCAAGAGTTTAGATATAGCTTGTCTGTAGAAATCCCTCACTGCAGTGAAACCGTGTGCTTGGAAGTCAGTCTGTGATGGAGGCACACACCTTAAACAGAAACATGAACTAAACTTAGTCGAGAGAAGTCTTCGAAGTTCAATTTTTTTTTTAAATGGATAAATACTGACAGGCAGTGGCTCAGTCAGTAGGGGCTTGGACTGTGAGCCGTATGGGTCGTCGGTTCAATTCCCCGAACTGACCTAAATATGGAGTGTGGACTGCTACGTGGAGAGGTCCCAGTTCACCTCCAGGGCCCTGCCGTGGTGCCCTTGAGCAAGGCACCGGACAACCCCCTTCCCCCCCCCCGGGCGCTGTACAATAGCTGCCCACTGCTCCTAGTACTAGACTCCTGGTACTAGGATGGATTAAAAGCAGAGAACAAATGTCACTGTGTGTGCTGTGTGCTCTGCATGTGTGACCATTAACGAGGGGTTTCATCCCTCCGATTCTATTCTAGAAAATGGTTCAGCAAAATGTCATCACTTTGAAGGACATATTGTTCATATTTTGTATAGAAAAAACTGGAAACTGCCACAAATTCAGACACACTTCACACACACTTACAGAACAGCAGTCTCACAGCTGAAAATGACAGCTCTCGTACATATTCACACAAAATCCACAAGCATTTACATAAAGGCACAATGAGGAGCGGTATTAAAACCCAGCACACACACACACACACACACACACACACACACACACACACACACACACACACACACACACACACACACACACACTGAATGTCTTCTCCAGCCTGATTGTGTAGCAGCCAGGGGGTCCTGGTATCTCTCCCTCCCTTCCCTCTATCTCTCTCTAACCTCTCTCGTACTGCCACACATCCTGCATGCATACAGAGCATTGCTCAGCGGGGAGGGGGTGTGGAAGGTCTCTGCTGACCCCTGCTGGCTGCAGGATCTAGAGGCTGTGTGTCCTAATGAGAAGGAAAGCCGAGCACAGTGCGAAACGGAGCACAAACCACAAACAGAACAAGGTTGCAACGTCGATCTTTACCAGCGTTAGGTCGAATTGATAGAGAATGTGAAGGAGACTGTGTGTGTGTGTGTGTGTGTGTGTGTGTCTGTGCTAAATGAGGATGTGCACGTGTTGGTGGGTAACAACCTCCCCGGAGACAGGAAGACAGGGGATAGAGAGGAGATGGAGAGAGAAAGAGAGATTAAAAGGGGAACCATTTTAGCTCCTCTCTGAGGACACAGATCATCTCCATTAGTCTCTCTATCTCTGTGTGTGTGTGTGTGTGTGTGTGTGTGTGTGTGTGTGTGTGTGTGTGTGTGTGTGTGTGTGTCTCTTTCAAATCTCATCCACACTATGCTGGCTAAATTGGAGAACACCGATGATATGCTTTTTCAGGTGTTTTTTCTCTAATACCTGAATAATATTAATGTTTTCCTCTTCATCCTCTTTTGGCCCAAAGGCAACAACGCTGTGGACCATCACATAATGCCTGTGACGTAGTTCATATAGCCCAGTTACAATTTGGATTTCAGACGGTAAACTGTGACCCCCTCCTGAACAGAGATATTGTTATTCCCTATTTTATGATCACACATTCGTATGATAAATACAGTCACGACGACACCTGAAGTCTGTTTATACGCGAAATACTCAAAGATATAAAACCTCAAAATATACTGACATTATCAACAGATATGAGGTCAAGACTCTGCGTAATATTCGTGTTACCAATTTGCAAGGATGCAGACCTCCGCACTTACCCACCGTACCCACATAATACCAGTCCTGTGTTTTACTGACAGTAGCATCCCAAGATAAAGATAGTCAATCACAGTGGCTGGCATCTCCGTAGCTTCCTTATCTCTGGTGTTAAGTGTGTGTCTGGTTTGCGTAGCCACATTTGCGATCTACGCTATCATCCCGATAATACAAATATGCTTAAAACTCTTCAAATGATACTCTAACATACAGAAGTAATATTACAATACATTTAATGAAGTAATAGATATACTGTTCATATTCAGTATATCCAAACAAAAATGGAAATTCATCACAATTACTTTGTATATTTTATCTTCCCATTCCTAGTTACCTAGCCTGCAACCTATATTTATATTTCCAGGTTTAGTGTTGACAGAGGCCGAAAACCAAGAGAAAATCATGATGAATGTACCTGCTAACCTCAAAATTACACTCTCTCCCTCCTTCCCTTTAACACCGCTACCTTATCAGTCATCTACACCGTCCCGGCAAAGAAAAAGCACACTCACCACACACTGTCACACAAACACATTGTTCCCCCTCAACAGCTCTCCAACAGGTACCCACGTCTCCATTAGGAGCACGGAAATAATTAACCTGTCTCTCAGTGCGAAGAATGACTCTATTCTCCTCTCTTTCTCTTCTTCTCTGCATGTGTTTGTGTGTGTGTGTGTTCCCAGCTGTCACTCGGGGTTCCGGGGCCCCCAGTGTGACATCAAAGAGTATAACGTGCTCTATGTGGTGCCAGGCTCGGGCAAACTGCACTACGTCCTCATCGCCTCCATCATCGGAGCACTGCAGGTGGTGATCATCTGCGTGGTGGTGCTCTGCATTACCAGGTGAGTCATGGCCCTCACACACACACACACACACACACACACACACACACACACACACAGCTCGCTAATGAACCTGGCAGCAGTTATTTCGATGTCGTCTGTATTTGGGAGTCACGGGGGGAATGCGGAGCTCCGGAGAAATCAGATGAAAGGTCACCTTGCTTACAACACAGAGAGAAAGCACTGTCAAATTCCCCTGTGGACACACACACACACACACACACACACACACACACACACACACACACACACACACACACACACACACACACACACCTACATACAAGCACAGATACATGCTGATATCTGTGTAGGTTAGCGCACTCTCTTATCTGTTTTGTATTCACGGTAAAGACCCACACACACATATATAGCCTGCGGCTGTCTGCCTCCGGCTGACCTCAGCAATTTATGACTTATAATAAAAGATTTTAAAAGACTTTTGGCCGAGACAAAACTGCTCCTCTGAGCAAAGAAAGGGGAGGGACAAGATGAGAAAGAGACGTTTTAAAGGGGAGATAAAGAAAAGAAGAACGGAACACTGAATACAGCCACTGTTCCATTCATGTTTCCTCCTGCTCAGCGATATGTATTTAAAACCAAAGAGTATAAAAATAGTCCTTGTAAATGTAAAAGAAATACATGACACTGCTCTCACTTGTTACAGTGGAGCCAAATTAATTAATATATATAAAATGAGATAGGAAGCAGTTTTGGTTATTTATTACATGGCCTAGTCGAATACTCAATTCTCATTGGTCAATTGGATATTCAAGAGGTTGTTAATAACACTTACACACCTCTGCTAAGAAGGATTTATGGACTATGTGCAGTCATATCAATCCACAGAAAGAAGTCCGGTCGATTTAACGTCAGCTGTTGACAACAAATATTAGTTAGAAAACTGTGAAATACTTTTTGAACACTCATTGCTATATTTGTGGAGAGCACGAAACTTTGGATTAATGGCTAAACGGTCCCTAGTAAAGAAAAGAAAAAGAGTACAAGGGAAGGAAAGAGTTTAAAAGACAAAGCACTGGACTTCAGATAAATCAGCAGAAGAAGAGAGACAGGAAGTAAACACTAAAGGGAACAGCAGAAGAAGACAGACAGTAAGTAGACACTAAAGGGAACAAGAGAAGAAGACAGACAGGAAGTAAACACTAAAGGGAACAGCAGAAGAAGACAGACAGGAAGTAAACACTAAAGGGAACAGCAGAAGAAGACAGACAGGAAGTAAACACTAAAGGGAACAACATAAGAAGACAGAGAGGAAGTAAACACTAACAGGAACATGGTTTAAAGACTGGTTAAAGGAAAATAAAATGTCAACACAGTTAGAGAAAACATCAATCAGTGAGGCCGTCTTTTTAAGTTATGTTGCTTTCACCAGAGTTCCAGTCGTTGGAACGTCGTGGGGGAATTAAAAAATATATAGTATATCTTAGCAGAAGCAATACAAATATTTTGAAGTCAATAAAATCATTTTAAATCAATATTGTGAGTCAAGTCGTCGGTTTATTTAGTATGTGGCCGTGATATAAGCGAGATAATGTGCAACAAGGCGGTCGTTAGTGAAAAAGGAACAACCGAAGCTAATGATTCCTAAAATATATAGTTCAATAACTTTAAAATGATATATAACGGATAAAAGCAACACATCTCCTTATATAAGAGGAGAGAACCAACATTATCTGAGATATTTGCACGGAAAACGACTTTGAAGAGTAATCAATTATCAAAAATTATTCTCTGCCATGTTAAATGACTATTGTTGCAGCTTTACAGTTTATACAGATGTAGATTTGAGTGCCTATTGTCCTTTCTCTGCTGCACAGACTGACTTTATGTTCTGAACTAGCAGGGCGAGTCACATCATTACCCAGCATGGCAGTGTTACGGTTAATAGGAGTCCACTCTAAACACTCCACTGAGTGTAAAGCACAACTAATATGTATGTCTTATAGAGCTCAACCCTGAAACTGCACTTCCTCTGGTCTAAAGCAGGACGCCCACTATCTGTGAAGTGGAGTGGATGAATGGTTATGGACAGACATACGGAGAGTGCTTCCATTTAAGTTAGATCGTAAAGACTTACCGCTCACTTAAAGGTCAAACATGTGGGAGTGGAAGAAGGTCAATCCTATGTTTGCCACCTGTGTATGCCATCCTGCCACATGTTGGAGAAGGTTTGCTGGAAGGAGATTCACTTTGAGATGTAATGTTGTTACCACAATATCGTATCCTTCCTACTGTAGACACATCCACAGAAAAAAAAGAACAAATCCATAGATAAATACCCTTAAACACAGCAGAGTCATTTAAAAATATGGACTTGCGCAATGTCCAAAGGCAAAATGTGTGAAAATATACTCAAATAAGTATTGTGAGGCTGCGGAGAAGTTCGGGCAAAAAAAACTGTATTCTACAAATGTAATACAATTCTTGTTGGGGATAGATCCTCTTAAAACTCCCGCCATGATGGTGTCAATACATTTTTCAATGATAATGTAAATACTGTCAGTCCCCGCTTAGTTGGACGCAGATTAGAATCGGAACATGAAGCATTTCATCCCTGTGTCTCAATCTGTGTTTTTACTGTTGTATTTTCAAATGTCACAATCTATCTTTGTTTCCCTGTTTTATTTTGAAGAGCTTTCCCCCCCTGTGTTTTCCCTCCTGTTTGATTACCTGATCTGTTCACCTGGTGCCTTTATGTTTTCCCTTCATTCCCCCCCTCCCCAGCTGTGTGTTGTCCTGTGATTAGTCCTGCATGTATTTAAGTTCTGGTTTTCTGTTGGATCCTTGATTTTACACATGGGAGTGGTCTGGTCTATTGGCTGTATACGTATTGTATTGAACCTTGAATAACGGTATTTTTCTCTTAAACCATGATACTCCTTTAAAACCCCCTTTCAAATCTATCTCGAATAAAGGCTAAACTGATCATCAAAAAAAAAAATATATATATATATATAATAAATTCCTCATATAGCAAAACATATAGCCAGAGGTGGCAGGAGTACTCAGATTTTTTTTAATGACGTGTATACTGCAGGGTAGCTTGTGAATTTACTCCAGGTGTAACTAAAGTCTATTTAAGAGTCGATTATATTTCACATAATTAAGTAACTAAAGGTAAAGGTAGTGGAGTAAAAGTACACGATAAACCTCTGAATTGTAGTAGGGTAGACGTAGCAAAGTAGCAACAAATGTAAGTGCAAGTATCTCAAAATTGTACTTAAGTACTGTACTTGAGTAAATCTACTTAGTTACTTTACAATTGCATATTACATAATCACAGTTTTCATCATGCAGCCCCAATTATTAGCCAGACGTTAGTAGTTACGTTTTTTTTGTCAAATGGTAGAGTGGCTTTATTCAGTCCATAAAATAGAATTGCTTCAGAATGAACTTGTACAGCTGTAACATGCTTCTCCTTGTCCCCCCCCCCCTTCACAGGAAGTGCCCGCGGACCAACAGGATCAACCGGCAGAAGCAGAACAATGTCCACTTCAGTACGGAGAACACCATGCGTGCCTCCACCCGGCTCATCTGAGCCCCCACACACCGGACAGAGCCCCCCCCCCCTCCGCTTTACGGGGAGTGCTGTGGCGTTAGATGTCCCCCCCCCTCTCCTTGTAGGATCTGCTTCCCCTTCACCCCCTCTCCCCTCTCCTCCCAATGTGAACTCTAATGAAGCCCGGGGAGGACGGTGGTTCTGCAGAGACAGTGATGAGACAACCCCCCCTCCCACACACATACACAGATGCAGATGTGTCTTCCTGCACCTTCCGCCCAGGGTTTCTCAAACGGACTGAACCATGAGGTGTCGTGGCGGGGGGGGGCATCGAGGAATGTGAGCGTGAGTGTGTGAATGTGTATTAGACGTGTGAGCTTTGGTAGAGGCGGGCTAGCCGGTGTCTGTCGTTTCTAG